CTGCAACCTCCCCATCGACCCTGCCTTGAGCGTGACAGGGGGCGGCGGCCCAACCCCCCAATCGGCCCTACCCTGAGCGTGACTGAGGGTGGCATCGCAACCTCCCGATCCGCCCTGCTCTGTGCATGACAGGGGGCGGCGCCCCAACTCCCCAATCGGCCCTGCTCTGAGCCCGACCAGGGGCTGCACCTAGGGATTGGGCCTGCCCTCTGCCACCTGGGAGCAGGCCTAAGCCAGCAGGTCGTTATCTCCTGAGGGGTCCCAGACTGCGAGAGGGCACAGGCCGGGCTGAGGGACCCCCTCCCCCCCGCGAGTGCACAAATTTTTGTGCACTGGGCCTCTAGTGTATAATAAAGCTCTTCAGTAATAATTATAAATATATTAATAATGAAAGTCCAGTCACTCAAGAGGAGACTGGCTGTACTCTCTGTTAGAGGAAAGGGCCAGTCCCAGAGAAGCCGCAGCCATAACCTTAAATATTATCTCTGAGGAAGAATGTGGCAGTTTTAAAATCCAAGCAGCTTGGCCAGGCCTGCTCCCTCCCCCACCCCTATCTTTTCACCAGCCTCAAATATAGTTTTCCAAAGTCTTTGGTAACTTAAAACTTTAGAACATTGCTGAATTAAATAATAAAAACTATTAAATATCTAGGTATTTTAAAATGGCAAAACACTGATATATTAATCTGAGTTTGCCTCATATGAAAAATCTAGAGGATAGAATTGAATCTATTAATTATATACGTCTTGTATTTTATTTGAAATATATCCTTAAAAATATAAATATATCACTAATCTAAGAAATGCTAAGTATTTAACTTGCCACCTAAAATTTAAGACTTCTAAGAGTTTAAAGTTCAGATTAAGTTGGGAGAAATTATATGGTTGTGATAACAAAATGCATAAAGTATAGAAATTCATTTTTGAGAAAAATAATTACTTGTATTTTCTCTGGAGAAATTAGTAGTTCAAAATATAGTGTAGTCTTTATGTGTACTACGTGTGGTAAATTTCAACCTAGCATATAATATTTTATTGGCCTGATTTAAAAAGGAGGATTAATTCTATGGTCTGAACCACATTTTAAATATAAAAACCAATTTAAATTTAATTGATATTTTTTAGAATAATTACAAAAAGTGTATAATGTAATCTTTGGGTTATGTATACTTGATAGTCTTTCCAAGTTAAATTTCAAGACTTTAACTGAGAGATAGCTTTGGGACATTTCAAGGTCCTTGGAAAGACTGAAGGATTTATTCTTTCTTCTTAAAAGAAATATTTTTAAACTAAATTAGGCCGATCTAATATACTTGAAATCACATGGGAAGCTTTATCAAATAAATATTAATAACTGTGTTCTATTTATATACATATATTTTAAATGTTATAAAGGTTCCAACCTCTAAGATTGGCAGGACTAGGTTGCTGAATACTTCGTTAGCTTTTCACGATATAATCAAGGTCTCATATAAACTCATTTATATGAGAAGCCAATATTTTATGAGCAATTGGTTTTAACAAAGTCCAAAGTAAAATTTGCATACATATGTAAATGAGCACTAGCCAAAAAGAATGCTGTTTAAAAGTAAATTTTAAGCTTAATAAGAAGGAGAAATTTTAAAATCTCTTCCGTTACTATTTGTAAAGTAAACTAAAAGTAATTATTCAAACATTAAATCTCACCATTAATGAGACACCATAAATAAAAAGACAGTTACTTTCACTTGAAATGTATGCATTGCAGTATTGGTCAGCATCTGAAAAGCAAACAAGTTTGTTGCTCTGTTTAAAAGAAAGTAAAAGTTTTTAAAATAAACTTCCTAAATGTGGTTTAGAAATTACTCTAGGAGGAAATACAGAGGGAAATGCCTTTCAAATATTTATAAAATGTAATTAAAAGTCAATGTAGTATTAGGCCTTTAAAAAGTAGAAATTCAAAAACTGCCTTAAAGCCTTAAATGACTTTTTAAAAATCATTAAAGAACATTAATTAGTTAAGACCTTGTCTAAAAATCTCTACAGTAGAAATGACAAATTTATTACTCAATTAAAATAACTCAGTGACACAAGCTGTCATTTCCAGCAATTTGTAAAAAGTGGAAAATTCAGCACATTACAGGAATACCATAATTCCTGAGGACAGGCAATTATAGAATGCCAACATCAGCGGCTAAAATCCCAACTTGAAAAACAAAAAGGGGGAGTAGTGGAGAAATCTCCTGTAAGTAAACTACATCAATCCTTAATTACTTTAAATTTTTTCACTTGTAATGCTGATGACAAGACACCTATGGAATTACACTGGTGTCAGAATAAGCCAAAGGAAAATGGTCTGGTTAAATGGAAAGATCCTGTGTCTGGTTTATGGAAGGGCCCCGATCCCTTGTTAACATTTGGTTGAGGATATGCTGGTGTATTTCCAGAAAACTTCTCCAAGCCCATGTGGATTCCTGCAAGAAATATTAAACTTCAACGTGGATCCAAGGGAAGAACTGACCAGATTAATGAGGACCTTGCACCTGGAACCGCACCTTGTACCTGCAGCTGCAGACAATTGACTACTCCAGCCACAGATAACAGTAGCCCCAAGCAAAACACTGAAGATAAGGAGTGGCAGGAGAACAAGACGGATGATAAACAGTCCGGAGATGACCTGGGGGATGGTGAAGAAGACAGTCCAGAAAGCCGAGAGAATTTGTGAGGAGACCAAAACCCCAAGAACGCCTGAGAAAGTTTTTCTTGCCATGCTAGCAGTCATCAGTTGTGCGGTAATACTACCAGGGGCAAATGGGGAAGTATATTGGACTTATGCTCCTGACCCTTCATGGGTAAGACCCCTTACTTGGGCTGATCCCCCGCCTGGTGTAGTCACCAATAATACCAAGCACCTTGGTCATCTGGGGGGAGCACAGGTGGGACAAGGAAGTATATGGGCAAAGTATAATTACACGGGTGTCGCCACCCAGCTTCCTTTTTGTATGATACAGAATCTAACTACTGCTCCTTTGTGTGTAGAATTAAGGAGAGGTTTCTGGCTAGCATGGACACCAAAGTAGGGGGAAGCAAAGCCCAAACACATCTACTATCACTACTTGCTCAGGGGAGAGGTACAGAAAATGTAACATTACTAAGTCATCCCCCCACTAAGCCATTATGTAAAACGTTTTATGAATGGCACCCCACCGAGGAATAAATTAATTGGAAGGACTGTTATTGTGACCACCCCACCAGCAGCAAGCTTAATAACAGTTTTTCCTTTGTGGATTGGAGCCCCTACGGGTCTGCATATAGTAACAATTGCACCCTAAAATGGAAGGGGACCGCATCCTACCTATATGTTGAAGCTAATCACTCCATCTTATGGTATGGAGGAGGGTTTGTTGAATCTCAATTACAACATGATAATTGGCCCCTACAAAATACGCAATGGAAATTAGCTGCTGCACTTGCACCTATAAAATGGTATATTTTTAACTATAGCTTAGAAAATTCCATTTGTACCTTATGGGGAACTCCCAATAAGACAGTGTTTGCCACTGCTTGTGTATTTGATCCTTTTGTCCTCCTCTCAGGCCCCATCCAGATGTGCCTTAATGCAACAAGCCATCTGTATGAGGTGTCATGCAGAGGTTGCACAGTATCCCATTGTATTATTTCTACATTCCAAAAAGATTCCCTCATGATCTAAAAACAACCTGCTTTCACTTGGGTTCCTACTAACCTAACTGAGCCTTGGGAATCTCATCAAACCTACCAACTGTTACATGACCTGGTAAAAATCTTAAAATGACAAAAAAGATTTCTTGGAATGTTAATTGCAGGACTTTTTGCTCTCGTAATGTTACTTACTTCTGTGAGAATTGCTGCTTCATCCATGGTACAAACTGTTCAAACTTCTCAGTTTGTACAACAAGTTAAGGAAAATGTAACTATACAAAAAAGAATTGTATATACAAAAAAGAATTGACAGTCAGTTTGAGATAGAATTATCGGCACTAAAGTCTACAGTTTTGTGGATGCGTGATAAAATCCATGACTTAGAGCAAAGAATATCATTACAGTGTCATTATAATTTTTCCCAGATTTGTATTACCCCTGTTCCCTATAATAGTACCTTATACCCTTGGGAATCAATTAAAAAATCATCTTCTTGGTACTTGGGGTAAAGGTAACACAACCCTTGATATTTTAGAATTACAACAGCATATTGTACAATTATTTCAGGCAAACTTACAAACTAATTTCTTAGATGCCTGGCAGCAATTTAAAAAGGACATGAAAGAATTTAATTGCTTTCACTGGATCTGCTTACATTTGCCTCTTAGCATAACCACTATTGCCTGTGTCATTCTTTTTTTTTTTAATATATTTTTTTTATTGCTTAAATTATTACAAAGAGTATTACATATTTGTCCTTTTTTTCCCCCGCCCTTGACAATCCCCTGGCCTCCCCTACCCCCAGTGTCTTATGTCCATTGGTTATGCTTATATGCATGCATACAAGTCCTTTGGTTGATCTCTTACCACCCCCCCTGGGGATATATTCCTAGAAGTGGGATCACAGGGTCAAATGGGAGTTCCATTTCCAGTTTTTTGAGGAAACTCCATACTGTCTTCCATAGTGGCTGCACCAGTCTGCATTCCCACCAGCAGTGCACAAGTGTTCCTTTTTCTCCACATCCTCTCCAGCACTTGTCGTTTGTTGATTTGTTGATGATAGCCATTCTGACAGGTGTGAGATGGTACCTCATTGTTGTTTTGATTTGCATCTCTCGGATGATTAGTGACTTTGAGCATGTTTTCATATGTCTCTTGGCTTTCTGAATGTCCTCTTTTGAAAGGTGTCTATTTAGATCCTTTGCCCATTTTTTGATTGGATTGTTTATCTTCTTTTTGTTAAGTTGTATGAGTTCCCTATAAATTTTGGAGATTAGGCCCTTATCAGATATGACGTTGGCAAATATGTTTTCCCACGCAGTGGGTTTTCTTGTTGTTTTGTTGATGGTTTCTTTTGCTGTGCAGAAGCTTTTTATTTTGATGTAGTCCCATTTGTTCATTTTCTCTTTAGTTTCAACTGCCCTAGGAGCTGTATCAGTGAAGACATTGCTTCGGCATATGTCTGAGATTTTGTTGCCTTTGGATTCTTCTAGTATTTTTATGGTTTCCGGTCGTATATTTAAGTCCTTTATCCATTTTGAGTTTATTTTTGTGTATGGTGTAAGTTGGTGGTCTAGTTTCATTTTCTTGCATGTATCTGTCCAATTTTCCCAGCACCATTTATTGAAGAGACTGTCTTGACTCCATTGTATGTTCTTGCCTCCTTTGTCAAATATTAATTGAGCGTATTGGTTGGGGCTGATTTCTGGGCTCTCTATTCTATTCCATTGATCTATATGTCTGTTCTTGTGCCAGTACCAGGCAGTTTTGAGAACAGTGGCTTTGTAATACAGCTTGATATCTGGTATTGAGATCCCACCTACTTTCTTCTTTCTCAGGATCGCTGCAGCTATTCGGGGTCGTTTTTTGTTCCAGATGAATTTTTGGAGAGTTCGTTCTAGGTCTGTGAAATATGCCGTTGGTATTTTAATGGGAAGTGCGTTGAATTTATAGATTGCTTTGGGCAGTATGGACATTTTAATGATGTTGATTCTACCAATCCATGAACACGGTATGTTCTTCCATCTGTTTATGTCTTCCTCTATCTCTTTTTTCAACGTCCTGTAGTTTTCTGAGTAGAGGTCTTTTACCTCTTTAGTTAAGTTTATTCCTAGGTATCTTAATTTTTTTGGTGCGATGGTAAATGGGATTGTTTTTCTAATCTCTCTTTCTGAAAGTTCACTGTTGGTGTATAGAAATGCCTCAGATTTCTTGGGGTTAATTTTGTATCCTGCTACATTGCCAAATTCATGTATTAAGTCTAGTAGCTTTTTGATGGAGTCTCTAGGGTTTTGTATGTATAATATCATGTCATCTGCAAATAAGGACAGTTTTACTTCCTCTTTTCCAATTTGGATGCCTTTTATTTCTTCTTCTTGTCTAATTGCAATGGCTAATACTTCCAGTACTATGTCGAACAGGAGTGGTGAGAGTGGGCATCCCTGTCTTGTTCCTGTTTTTAGGGGAAATGGTGTTAGTTTTTGTCCATTGAGTATGATGTTGGCTGTGGGTTTGTCATATATGGCTTTTATTATGTTGAGGTATGATCCTTCTATTCCCACCTTGCTGAGAGTTTTTATCAAAAATGGGTGTTGAATTTTGTCAAATGCTTTTTCTGCATCAATTGATATGACTATGTGGTTTTTTTCCTTCAATTTGTTTATGTGATGTATCACGTTTATTGATTTGCGGATATTGTACCATCCTTGCATCCCTGGGATAAATCCTACTTGGTCATGGTGTATGATCTTTCTGATGTACTGCTGGATCCGATTTGCTAAGATTTTGTTGAGGATTTTGGCATCTATGTTCATGAGGGATATTGGCCTGTAATTCTCTTTCATTGTGTTGTCTTTACCTGGTTTTGGTATTAGGGTGATGCTGGCTTCATAGAATGAGCTTGGAAGTGTTCCTTCCTCTTGGATTTTTTGTAGTAGTCTGAGGAGGATAGGTTTTAGTTCTTCCTTGAATGTTTGGTAAAACTCCCCTGTGAAGCCGTCTGGTCCTGGGCTTTTGTTTGCTGGAAGCTTTCTGATGACTGCTTCAATTTCTTCCATAGTTATTGGCCTGTTGAGATTTTTAGATTCTTCCTGATTAAGTTTTGGAATGTTGTATTTTTCTAGAAATATGTCCATTTCCTCCAGGTTGTCTAGTTTGTTGGAGTAGAGTTGTTCATAGTATTTTTTAACAATCATTTGTATTTCTGTGGGGTCTGTTGTTATTTCGCCTCTATCATTTCTGATTTGGTTTATTTGGGTCCTCTCTCTTTGCTTTTTGGTGAGCCTGGCTAGAGGTTTGTCGATCTTGTTTATCCTTTCAAAGAACCAGCTCTTGGTTTCATTGATTTTCTGTATTGTTTTTTTGGTCTCTATGTCATTTATTTCTGCTCTAATCTTTATTATCTCCTTCCTTCTGCTCACTCTGGGCTTTTCTTGTTGCTCTCTTTCTAATTCTTTGAGCTGTAGATTTAGATGATTTACTACCATTTTTTCTTGTTTGTTGAGGTAGGCCTGTAGAGCTATAAACTTCCCTCTCAGGACTGCTTTCATTGTGTCCCAAAGGTTTTGGATTGTTGTGTTTTCATTGTCATTAGTTTCCAGGATGTTTTTAATTTCTTCTTTGATCTCATTGGTAACCCAATCAATATTTAATAACATGCTATTCAGCTTCCAAGTGTTTGAGTATTTTGGGTTGTTTTTATTGTAGTTTATTTCTAATATTATGCCCTTGTGGTCTGAGAAGATGCTTGGTATGATTTCAATCTTCTTGAATTTGGGGAGACTTTGTTTGTGACCCAATATGTGGTCTATTTTTGAAGATGTCCCATGAGCACTTGAGAAGAACGTATATTTTGTTGCTTTGGGGTGAAGTGTTCTGAAGATGTCAATTAAGTCCATCTGATCTAGTGAGTCATTTAGGATTGCTGTTTCTTTGCTGATTTTTTGTCTAGCAGATTTATCCAGTGATGTCAGTGGTGTATTAAAGTCCCCTACTATGATTGTATTGTTGTCGATCTCTCCCCTGATGTCTTCCAGGAGTTTTCTT